TTGTTTAAATTCTAGAATAGTATGTCGCTATTATAGAAAGTCATGTTGCTATTGTAAAACTAATATAGCGTTATGTTTATATTTTTATGAAATTAAAGTGTTATATATACATTTTTTTGTTATTTAATTATGTGAATCCGTAGTCCTAAACCGATCCAATCCGTGTTTAAATGGATTGGTTCGGATTGGTTCCATGATTTAAACGGATTGGATTGATTCCAATTTTTCAAGAACCGTAAATGACGGATTGGTTCTGGTTTTACCCCCAATCTTGTCCAAACCGGACCATGCTCACCCCTACTCACAAGTTGATGTGGGTCCCATAGCTAGTGATGGTTGATCTTATCAAAACTTGTGAGTCTTGTGAATGTATTAGTAAAATTATTAGTAAGATTGTAAATATCCCTAGCATTGTTGTTTGGTAAATGCTTAATACAATGATGTTACATCGTACCAAAAAAAACAATCGTGATGTCCATAACTCCCCAATTACATGATGGAATTAAAAAATGTTACTCTATTTAACCCATTTCGTGTCACCACTTTCTTATTATGGGTACATAATTTTTGAATAACAACAAGTGGTCGAGGTGTCACCGAAGTGCCAACTGAGGTGTCACGTGTCCTGGTCATGACGCCGAGATCGTCTCGGCTAGGTCGAGGTTATCTGCGAAGATACTGAAATTCGGAAGAAGCGGATAAGGGACAAGAGTCCTAGAATGAGAGAGGACTTCAGTTTGGGTAAAGATAAGATTCTTAGAGAGTTTATCCTAATCTTACTGGAAGTCCAAGATTAGTAGTAATCCTAAGTCCATTGAAGCTAGGCTTCTATTAGGACTAGATTTGTGTTGGCTATAAAAGAGATGCACCCTCATGGGTCTAAGGTATGTTTTTTATACTCTGAATAGTGAGTTAAGAGATGACTTTAGTTTGGGTAAAGATAAGATCCTTAAAAAGTTTATCTCAATCCTACTAGGAGTCCAAGATTAGCAGTAATCCTACGTCCATTGAAGCTAGGCTTCTATTGGGACTAGGTTTGTGTTGGCTATAAAAGAGATGCACTCTCATGGGTCTAAGGTATGTTTTTTATGAATGCAATTAACTAACATATACTCAGTCAATTCAGTTTCAACTTCAGTCAGTCGGTTCAGTATTTCATTCAGTTCGATTATCAGTTAGTTATCAGTCATTATCAGCTTCGTTTAACAGTAATCGGTGATTAACGGTAATCAATCGGTCATAAATCAGTAAACAGTACGAGGGTTGTTACATTGGCGGACCTGCAAACGATCGTTAATTTCATGATGCAGAACAACGTCATGTAGTCATCGTTCCCTTTACAAGATACGCCGATTCCAGCGGCCAAGAAAGATGCCTAGAAAAGGGAGCAGAACACAGTTCATGCAATCCCTCAGCACGACAAAACAAAGGGGCATTCTCAACGGCCTTCATGGGAAGTCGGGCATGGAGAATCAAAGAGGGCTGGAGAATAATACCTGGGAGTTCGAATTTACAAGCTAAGGTTGGTTTAACACTTGTTGAAATTTTAAAAATTTACAAGTTGAAGTTAAACCGATGTCATGTTTAACACTTGTTGAAATTTTTTAAAAAAAATACAAGTTGAAGTTAAACCGATGACATGTTTAACACTTGTTGAAATTTTAAGAAAAATTTACAAGTCGAAGTTAAACTGAGGACATGTTTAACACTTGTTGAAATTTTAAAAATTTATAAGTTGAAGTTAAACCGAGGTCGTATTTAACACTTGTTGAAATTTTAAGAAAAATTTACAAGCTGAAGTTAAACCGGGGTCATGATTAAATTAATGAATGATATAGGTTCCATCACCTCAGGATGCCGAGGTAATAGAACCTAGGGGGAAGTTGTGGGGACATAATTTTTGAATGACAACACGTGGCCAAGGTGTCACCGAAGTGCCAGCTGAGGTGCCACTTATCCTGGTCATGACACCGAGATCGTCTCGGCTAGGTCGAGATTATCTGAGAAGATATCGAAATCCGAGATAAACGGATAAGGGACAAAGGTCCTAGAATGATAAATGACTTCAGTTTGGGTAAAAATAAGATTCTTAGAGAGTTTATCCCAATCTTATTGGGAGTCCAAGATTAGCAGTAATCATAAGTCCATTGAAGCTAGGCTTCTATTGGGACTAGGTTTGTCTTGGCTATAAAAGAGAGGCACCCTCATGGGTCTAAGGTATGTTTTTTATGCTCTGAATAGTGAGTTAAGCACTTTTGCTATCTTTGGGAGATAATTGACTTGATCGTCGGAGTGTCCCCGGGTGGACGAACCACCGCCGAAATCTCTTCTTTTTGTGATAGGTCATTCGGGCTTAATCTATTCTGCCAGTATTCTCCACCTGAGTGTTTGATTGGTAATGTGGTCGGAAATTGACACACACACACACATTAAAAAAATAAATAAATTTGTAAGCCTTATTAATGTGTCCAAATGTTTGAAATTTTGACCTTAATTTTCTCTTATTAGCCTTCTTTAAATTTAAATTTAAATTGAAATTTAAATACTTTTCTTTTTTCTTAGTAGACTGAAAAAATATTTAAACAAAGCGAAGATTTATCATTTAAAGATGTTTTCTTTAAAGTTTGTGTAATTTCAATTAAAAAGCATAAAATGGGACTAACGAAGTACAAATTGTGCGATTTTAAAAAATTATCATGTGATTTTCTGTAAAAAGAAATTATTCAATATGAATTTTTAGACACAATATTAGAACGGAGGGAGAAAGACCTAAATAGAAAGAATTCTTGGAAGGAAAATTAGTGAATGTTATAAGCGCACTATATGTACCATTGTTTATCTATTGGCACAAATTAATGGCGGAACTAGAAATATTATGAGTGAAATAATCCACTTAAGTGAATTGCAATTCTTTCTTTGTTAAGAACACAAAAGCAATGTTCCATAATAGTCCTGAACTATCTAACAAATTTTTCTAGCGGAGAAGGAGCAAAGTTTAGATTGCCAATGAATGCCAAACAACAACCTTGCAAATTTTCTGGCAAAGGTAGAAATCTTTTTTGTTTTTGTTTTTTTTTTCTTTTTGTTGTAATTTTATTTCGCTTGCCTCCAAACAGTAGTTAAAACGTTTTAGGCCTCGTTTGGCAAGTGACTTTTTTAATCAAAAAGTTACTAAAAAAATCAAAAAGTCAACAACTCATACCAAAAAGTCAAATATTCTCTTTTCTCTCTACTTTTTACACATCTTTTCGTAAAAAATCAAAAAATCATTTCAAACATATTAATTTTTTTAACTCATATTTTAACTAAATAATTAAAAAATTACTAAATTAGTCTGTTCCCAAACTAGACCTAGTATTAAAAAAACAAATAAGGCATTTGTGAAGTGAAAGCAACAGAAAAAAAATAATAATAATCTAATCTAATCTAATACTAACAGTAGTAAACAAAAAAGAAGCTACTCCTACGTATCCCCATACTAGATTACGAGATAGCTGCTGCTGCTGCTGCTGCTGCTGCATCAATCAATTCAGCAGCTGAAGTGTTTTAAACGGAGACGAAATATTCACTTAAATCAAAATTGCTTTAGAGCTCTAAAAGAGCACCTCTAAACTTAGTATTAAATTGTCTTCTTCTGATCACTGTTTTGTCTTTTTTTTGTTTTTGTTTTTGTTTTTTTTTTTTAATTAGTTGTCAGCTCAATAGAGCTGCTGTTAGAGCAGCTCTACTAGAGCTCCCAATCACTGCTCCACTTAAATTTCTTCTTCTTTTTTATTTCTTGTTTATCCTCATTTTTTTTTTCTTTTTTTTTTGCCTCGATTTCTTTATGTGTATATATATGTCAATAGATTTTACTTGTACACAACTTTGATAAAAAGGCACGTTTGATGGTAGCTCCTTCAGAATTGCGTTTGTCTCTTTTCTTTTTACCTTCTTTCTTTTTAGAATAAAGTAGTTGCTAAGAAGAAGAAAAATTTAATACGTTTATTTATTTATTTATTTTTGTCTTCAATAATCATTTGTTCTCTTTTTTTCTCCTTGCTTTTTAGATTTTTCTGAACTTGAAAGTCTTGAGAAAAAATTTCACTCAAAATAAAAATATTCATACTTGCTTAATAGAGGGGATTCTTTAAAAAAGGTTGATTTTCCTCCCCCTTAATTGTCAATTAAATAAGTTCAAACTAAATAATAAAAATATTTTTGACTTGTAAATAGCCAAGAAGTAACTTTTTTTAGTTCAAACCTAAATATTTATTAATATATTGATAGTTACAATTCATATCAATTAATATTCATACCTATTTCTATATAGTTATTTAAAATCACGAATGCCATATATGCCTTGTAAAATCCAAAGACGTGGTCATGGGACTCCGTTGCTAGCCAGTAGCAGAGTCAAGAAATTAAATCAAAAGAGACGTTTATTAATTACAACGTTAAAAATTTTTACAAAAATATTTCACATAAATTTTTATTATTAACCTCAAGAAAGGTAATAATAATAATAATAATAATAATAATAATAATGTTATTTATAACTAGTGTATTATGAACAAAATATATATATATAAAAAAAAAAGTCATGAATATAAGTTTTAATATAATGATAAAGTAATTTTTTATACAAAATCTGAGTAAGAATTCAATATAATAGTAATATCACGTTATCATTAAGATGTGATAATATCACCAACTAATAGTAAAGAAACACATGGAGGATGAACCCCACATGACAAATGTAATTAACAATCTAATAAATTCTATATTTTTATTTAGATTAATTATGTTTTCATGTCAATAATAATAGACATTACTATTATATTAAAATTTTCATAGCTAATCTTTTTATTTTTAATCAAAATAATCATTATTGTTCTCATAATTTTAAAAATATCATTGACATTCCACTCTAAATAATATTTTTATAAATTTTTTATTTATATTTAAAAAAGAAAAAATCAAAAACCAGAGCACGTGACCCCCCACGCCCTATTTACCTCCGCCCCTGTTGCTAGCCCTCCCCTAGCACTTCTCTCTCTGTATAAATTTATAACATATATGCTCTATTGATCATGTTGGGTACCTACTTTCTGTAGTCCCATAGTTTGCTACTGTATATATTCTTCTGCTGATCAAAGAAGTATATTCTTCTGCAAGATCATAACTCAGGTATGTGCATATCAATTTTTTTTTTTTTTTTTTTTTTTTTTTTTTTTTTTTTTCTCTCGTTGATTAGCGAAAAGGCCATACATAATAAGTTCAGTTCTTGTTGGTTTTGCAATTTTCAGGACATAAACACTTGGACTGATCTTATTGGTTCTTGTTAAATTTAATGGGATCATACATGGAAGGGAGAGACATAATCAGCTACAACAAGTTTCAGAAGATAGTGAAGGGTTGCATATCTTGCTTGGCTTGGTTCTTGATGAGCATGGTTGGAGGGTTGATCTTGGTTTGGTGGGAAGTAAATTATCATCCAAGCAATAGTCAACAGTGGATGGTCCCTATTGGTCTAATTCTTATGGTTACACCGGTCATCGTCTGGTTTGCCGCCTTCGTTTCAGAAACCTGTAGTCCCAGAGAATCATATGATGGTGTTTCAAGCCTCAACCAACCTGTCATGTCATCGGATAACTCAGTTCATGACCCAGAAAGAAGATGATCGAATACAGAGTTGCCAACGCCATGCACGTGATTCGCTAGTGAGACCCCTCCTCTCCTCCCCACCGCCCCTAGCTTGTTTTTTGGTCAATTTTCTTGTTACAATATCACATCATCACTTTGCATTGCAGGTTCTACTTGTGATTCATTGTTCATATATTTATGTAAAAAATTAAAAACAAAAGCATGCTGAGTGAAGATTGAGGTTATTAAAGTGGTTTGTTTGAGATCAATTGGTTTAAGATGGATGATAATATGGAGTCACTCATATCACACTATTCTATTTGTTCTTATAAAAACATGAAGGAGAGAGGTGACATAATTTGTTTTCTAACAAATAATGTATGAGGTGAATCAGGGGATGGTATATGTGTTAACTTTTCTAGTTTTTGAAAGGGAAAATTGTGTTACAATATATGAATAACTCAAAATAATTAGAATTTTTATGAAAGTAGAAGTGATACAAGTGTGAGGTGTGTTTATATCACAATTTTTCCCTTTTTAAAAGCATATTCTTTGTCATTGAATTATATTTAATATATAATATAATATAATATAAGAGGAGGGGAATTTAGGTGTTTCTAATCTAAAAGAAGAAAGAGTAATGATGCTAGAGAGGAGAGGAGGGTAGGCAAGGCCTGAATGTGACCTTCCCCAGTTTTTATTCAAATTAATAAATATTTGCAAATAAATAAATAGAAATAGAAAAAGAAAAAGAGAGTAGTCATATCATATAGGGGATTTGAGCTGATGAGAGAGTTGGAAGGGACCATCCTAATTTAATACAAACGTGTTGTATTCGTCTACAATGATTTTATAGTAATCTCACCATTTATGTTTAAAATTAAAAAAACTCATTTTACTTAAGTTTTAATTTAAACAATTAGTTTATGTACATTGTTGATATGTTTTGTTGTGCTAAAATAATAATAATAATTCATTACAAAAAATACATAACAGAGAAACTAACTCTGCATTAAGAGTTGATTTAATAGCTGATCAAAATGTTTAAAAAAAAAAAAACAAATATCCCGAGACCTATAGTTTGAATTGACTTGATAAAAAAAGGTATTTTAGATTAAGCATTGAATTGTTTTAAATTAATGTGTTGTACTTGTATATATATATATATATATAGAAAATCTCACATAATATTTGATAGAGAAAATTACTTGCGTTATGTACCAACCAATAAAACTGATTATGCCTGTGTTTGGCAAGTGGGTTTGCCGGCTTTTTTGGCTATTTTAGTCACAAAAAACAAAATAGGCTATTTTAGCCATAACAAACAAAACATCACATCCAACCCATAATCATTACATTCTTTTCTCACAAAAAAATTTAAAAAAGTCAAAAAAGCCAAAAAGCCCTTCCCAAACCAAGCTTTTAAGCCCAGGCTAAAATATCCAAAAAAGCTAAAAAGTCAAAAAGTCAACCCACTTCCCAAACGGAGGCTATATTATAGTATAAAATTATACTGCTCAGGTTGTTGATGACTATTAAATTTTTATGCGGTGCAAAAAGAACAGGTTTGAAATGTTTCCAATATTCAAGAATGAGTAGACCATATGACTAAATAAAACAACAATGCATGCTCATGACCACCAAATAAGCCTGGCAAGATCAACCACCAAAACCAATAGAACAATTTATTGCCTAAGGTGGTTAATGAATGCTCATTATACATTTGTTGAAATGGCCCAAAAAATGAAACAAAAACAATAAAGCTCCTTGTAAGAGGACACACCCTTTAATAAATACCCAGCAAACAACATACTTAAATTTTCTTTTAAAAAAAAAAAAAACTGTAACCCTTTCAAGCCAAACTTGTTGTATACATCTTATAAACAAGAGCTAAAATTAAGAAAATACAAGAATGGATCATTATGAGAAACACACCTTTCAGAACCTGATGTTTAATGCATATCTCAAGTGATTTACACAATGGAACACTGGTAGTCAATCTTAACTGCCTGAAAAAGGTCAAAACACCTCACACCTCGGCATCAGGATGTGTAGGAAACTCTAGGCCTTCAAGTGCAGGTATGTTCTCCATATCTTCTTTTGAGTACAATGGAAAGAACCAAAATGCCTTTTTTGCGCCAAAAACCTTCAAAAATAAAGAGACCGTAAGAAAAATTAGACCACTAAACATAAAAGGTCCACCCCAAATTTCAACTAGTGATCATGAAAATAATTTACCATATAATATGCTTCAATATAATGATTAAGGTGCAATCTAACGTTCTTTAGAAATTATGCACACAAGCATTACATTTTCACCTTGATTATTATTTTTAAAAATCACCCTACATACAGGATAGTAATCTTATTGGAATACCCTTTTCCTTCCACCTGCAATTCTCTCAAATCACAAATGAATCCTGTTCTCTATTTCATAGGAACAATTAAGAATGTCAAAGTAGTATAACCTAGTATGTTGATGACCATAAAGTTCATTCACTCCACACTGTAGGAATTACGAAAGGATAAAATATCTATATGTACATATGTATGTCCAGTATGCTCTACCTGCTCGAAATTCTTCTTCCGGCCAAAGTCATACTTCCACCTGACAGCTTTTTTCTTCTCATGGACCTGGAACAGACAATTATACAAGTAACGATTAACCAAGGCAATAACCATCTGCAACTAGCGGGGTTTGCATCTCTGCCCTCAAAAGATGGAGAGTTATTTCTAGGATTAAAAATATATCAGCAAAGCGTTGTCATTTTGACAGTTGGCCATGTCATTGAATTTGAATGCAATATTGCAAACCATTGTTGCACTAATATGCAGATCTCACACAGCACAAGAAACAATTTTATGATTAAATACAAGGATGGATACAACAACAATGCACCATTATGTTTAATTGCCAAAGTAAATCTAAGTGCACAGGGGATTTTCACAGAATGGGACACAGATGTGAGACAAAAGGTCTGTCCCATTTTGTGAAAATTTTCTGTGTAACACATCTATAATTACCTCTATTGAAGTGGTATTGCTAGACAGAAGAGACACGTGCATAATTAGGAAACAAAGAAGACTCAGTGCAAAAGCCAGGTTCAAAACTGCATCAAGGTACAAAATCTGTAAGAAACATGGAAATTTTGAGACTACAGTGACAAGCATTTGGAGATGATAGTGAGCAATACAAGTACGAGAGTTTACCAAATGCCAAAAACGTAATAGCGAGATTGCCTGGTGAAGCAGAATGGTTCTTGGCTTCTCGGAAGAAATTTATAAAAGTCGGCAGCAATACTAAAGTATTCATTGTTGTCTCCAGAAATGTATAGAGCTGAGAGATCAATAAGCACATAAATAATAACAGCATATGTATGTAGTATAACAGAATGAATGCAAATCAGAGAGGAACCATCAAATCTTAGTGTGATTTCTAGGCATATTTGAAAAGGTTACAAGAGAAGAGCAGTATAAATGAGACCACTCCTCCACATTTGTGAACCACAACAGCACGGCAGCATGGTCACAACTAGACCAATTTTTTTAACGAAAGTTCAATCTTGTTTTCAAACTCATTTGCAAGGTTAGGGAGGAGGCCAAAGTAACAAAAACACAGTAAGGAGATAGAATATAAAATCACCAGGAAAAGTAGGAAAAACTTGTAATTTTGTGCTCCAACACAGTTCACCACCCATACGCAATGGTGATCCATCTTAAGAACACATCTTTGGCCTGCACAAAACATACAGAAACTCAAATAATTTACAGATATGACTACTCAACCTGATGTCTCGTTGCATGCCAACTGAGCTGCAACAATGTTCAAAGAAGGCAAATAGAATGGGAAGCAAAATGTAATAATATTCTTTCAACATATGTATACAACAAACAACTTGGAAACATCACATTGAAATTGGGCGTGGAAGTCAGTCACATTAATGGACATTAACAGGAAAGAAAAAGAATCTGAACCTAGAAGAAGAAATGAAACACATGAGCATCATCAAAGCTAGTTGGAAAGATAAACTTACAAACAGAGCAATGATGGCAACGTGGAGGCTTTCCATTTTTGCAATGGCTGCAGTAGACTACAGCAGGTCTTCTTTCCAGCCCATCTGAAGAAGACAATGTAGCGGCCAAATTCTGAGGCTCTACACAATCTGAAAATGGCATAGAAGAAGTGCCCGCCTCAAAATTCTGTTCCTCAATCACTGGCTTCCAGTTTTCAGGAACAGAACCAGGGTCACGAAAGACTACCATGAAATAGCACCACAGTAACAATAGAAGCTGCAAAATGAAATGAAATGAAATGAATACTTAGTGAGTGATAAACATCTTAGCCATCAATCTTACAGAGTGTCAATTATCCAAATGAAAATATAAAACCCATAAATGGCATTCAAGATATATATATATATATATATATCAGGATTTTGCAAAATTCATTGATTACATGAATAAAAGGCTGTAACCAGAACATTCCTGGAACCATAGACAGAATATGAAGATCACAGTAAGTGTTGACAAATCCATTACTTGGTTACGACTGCCTAAAAACAATAAAGATACATCAGCCTCACATCCTGAGCGACAAAAATAGTTGAACATGAAAAATTTACGTGATTTTGAATTTATGCATATCAGATGTTGTAGTGATCACTATTGATTGAAACACAGGATGCATATGTCCGTACAAATAAAGAATTATTGGAATCTGATGAAGGTAAGGTAATAATAATAGGATAATAAATATGAGTAAAATAGATCCTCATTTGTTTGGTTGGTGCTCCACATTGGATTGGAACATATAATTAATAGCAAAGCATACAACTTTTTTTAATCAATTTAGTTTGAAATAATGAATCTGGTAGAGCCAATATGCAATTGAATACAGTTGGGTTCGTTTCGTAGACATAAAAATAGAATTGAAGAAGAAGAAGAAGAAGAAGAAACAGTAGAGTAGAGTAGAGTAGAATTGGGAATAAGGTAGATAGGTAGGTAGGCAGGTAGTAGGTACCAGGAGATGAAAGACAAGGATAACAGTGAATGAGAAGAAGGACGTGAATGTGAAGGGATCATCAAGCAAGTGAGGGCCCCAAGTGAGGATGACGACGGCGTAATAAGAGACGGCGATAATAGCGGCGACGAGGACGATGATCAAGCAACCCAGGAATTTGAGGCCGGAGCATAGCTTGAACAGGTTCAGATCCATGCAGGGATTATTAGATGGCCGACCTAACCCGATTCCAGGAGGGATTATTAGTACGGACCCGTACCTCCTGGATCGCTGTGGGAACAAGCGTTTCCAGATGTCCGAAGCCAGGTTTAGGCTTAGGATTAGGTTTAGGTTTAGGTTTAGGTTTAGGTTTAGGGATTTCAACCGGATTCCAAAACGTATTTTTGTTTTTGTTCCTGTTCTTGTTTAACGGACGGTCTCTCCAATTCTGAAATTCAGCTCTCCCTCCCAACTCGGACAGACAGAGAGACCACTATTTACCGAACACAGAGAGGGTCCAATCTCATCGCATTACCACTTTCCATTTTTGTTTTGAATAGGTCGCCCCCCACAACCCTCACTTCTTTGCTTTAGCACCGACACTTTACCCTAACCCCTAACTTTAAGTTCAAGTAAAAATCTTATCTAAGTTTCCACCCCCCTCCCCCCCAAAAAAAACAAAATAGTATATTAATAAAATATAAATTATTATTATTTTTTAATTTTAAATATCACTTTTTAATTTATTTTTAATAATATTGATGTCAATTGTTGATGTGTTAACTATTTATCAACAAAATTAATTTGTTGTCAAATTTATAAGTGATATTTTAAGAGTTAGTATTATTATATTTTTGTAAAGGTCTTGTTAATAAATATTTAGGACATCATAAATAAAAAAAGATTTTAAAAAAAAAAGAATACACTCCTTATTAACAAATTTATAAGTGATATTTTAAGAGTCTTAGCCTCCGTTTGGGAAGTGGGTTGGCTTTTTAACTTTTTGACTTTTTTGACTATTTTAGCCTGGGCTAAAAAGCTTGGTTTGGGAAGGGCTTTTTGGCTTTTTGGCTTTTTTGACTTTTTTTGTGAGAGAAGAATGTAATGATTATAGGTTGGATGTGATGTTTTGTTTGTTATGGCTAAAATAGCCTATTTTGTTTTTTGTGGCTAAAATAGCCAAAAAAACCTGAAAAAGCTCTTGCCAAACACAGGCTATTATTATATTTTTGTAAAGGTCTTGTTAATAAATATTTAGTACATCATAAATAAAAAAAGATTTAAAAAAAAAAAAAGAATACACTCCTTATTGAATTTGAATATTTTCCCTTGGATTCAACATACTTTTTAATCCTTTTAAGGATTGGTTTGGGAAGTGGATTGACTTTTTGACTTTTTAACTTTTCTAGTTATTTTAGCTTGTGTTAAAAAACTTGGTTTGAAAAGAGTTTTTTAGTTTTTTGACTTTTTTTACTTTTTTGTGAGAGAATAGTGTAATGATTATGGGTTAGATGTGATGTTTTATTTTTTGTGACTAAAATAGCCTATTTTATCTTTTGTTACTAAAATAATCAAAAAAGCCCCTAACCCAACTTGCCAAACAGATTACTTATTTTTCAAGATTTTTTTTTTTTAACCTCAATTTCAATGCTAAATAATGTCCATTAAGCACTAGTTAGCATTTTCCTTATTTTAGAAGACAATTTTTATTAATTTTAGAATATTTTCCACTGTATAAAAATTTCAATAACAAACAATGGTGATGGCCATTGTTTGACATTTGCTTAAAATTCGGTGCCAATAATTGCTTAATTTTTTTATTTTTATTTTAGAGTAGACCAAAACCAAGACCAAGTTAGCCATTTTTCAAGCAGAGTTATTTTTTGACAAAAATTGGGGAAAGTACAAATAAATCTCAGTTCGAAGGAGAAAACGCTCCGACCATACTTCCGTCAAACCCACCGTCCCTCCCCACACACACCGCCTCACACACCTCACCTACCTCGGGTAAATTAACTTCCCATTTTCTCTCTCTCTCTCTCTCGTATCTCTCACACACACACACACACACACACACACATCTTTTTTCACAAAGAAAATCTTATTATCAATGTTGTTTGATTTGATTGATTTTGGGGTAGTTAGGGTTAGGGTTTTATAGCCGGAGCAGATATGCAACAACCACAGCAGATGATTCCTATGATGCCTTCATACCCTCCCACTAACATCACCACCGAACAGATTCAAAAGGTATAATTTTTTTCAATTAATACCTCCTCAATTTCTTAATTTTACTATGTCCTCCTTATTCAAAACCAATTTTTTTGTCTATGTATTTATTCATCGTCTGTTCATTGAATTGGGGTTGGAGTTTTGGCTTTCTTTTCTCCATCATTCTAATTTGGTCAGCAAATTATTGGACATAAAAATTAAAAACAAAAACAAAAGAAAGAACCCCCTCGATTTTTTGGGTGTTTCGCATACCAACTTTGTCGCATATGTCAATTGACTATAAACCCTTATAGGCCAATTGTCTCAAAATGTTCAGATCTGTGTTTGAAAACGGGCTAGTTCCTAATATTTTGCTTATGGGGTTTTCAAATAATATTTCAGTAAACCATGTGGAACCATTCACTAGCGGGCGGGACTCATAGAATTCCATGTGGCTATACTAGGTGCCTTGTTAACTCTTTATTACAGCACTTGCCTTACTTTTACTGTCTTGTCATTATGGGGTATAAACAGAGATATGCTAGCTCTTTGAAGCTCCCTTGTTGGTTGTTGAGAATGAGCATTGAAGGGATCAAGGACAAACTAGATTTACCTAATATTATAATGATTCAATTATCTATCATTATGTAGATTTAGTGTTCAAGGAGATGGATGGTGGTTTTAATATTCATGTATAATTGTTAGCAATTTATAGCAATCTAGGAACAACTAAAGGAACATACCTTTTCAATAGAACGTGATTTCCAATTTTATTTACCCTTGTCAGATTTGTCTTGTTATCATTGTTGTTTGTTAGTTTGTTTTTTTTTTATTTATTTTAAATCAACCTAACGCCATGTAATTCAATAGTACATCTGTCTACCTAAAGCCAATTTGAACATTCACGATAAGCCCTTTCCATCATCCTATTCAGGAATATTTATGTTATGCCAAATTATTTCACATGTAATTGATATTATTTTGCTAATCCGATGTTGTCGTACTATTTAAGTGTTGTTGTAAAACTGCAAAATTTTCCTTTGGATCAACTACGGAATAAATGGAGCAATTTTCCATTGCATGAGGAGTTAATTTTTATAATCTTTCTTATCATTAGGGTAGATGGGAGTGTTAGGGAACGGGGTAAGTCTAGATTGACGTTGGCTAGTGTTGTAAATAGAGATATGGATCTACTTAATTTGACTAACGAAATGGCTTTTGATAGGGCATCGTGAAGAAGAAGGATTCATGTAGCTGACCCCATTTGATGGGACTTAAGGCTTGGTTTGGTTTGGTTTGATTTATGATTTACTCTCCCTTGTTGATATTTAAATCATCATACGTGCTAGTTGAAAAGCAAGAGCTTGCCCTCACAATGAATATCATTTATTGCGCAAGTAGAGGCTTCACAATAATGCATCAAGCATTCAGGCTTGCATGTGTTTCTCTTTTATCCAAGTTTTAGCTTTCAATATCTTATATTCTGAAAAGTAAAGGGGCTTTGATTTATTAAACTAACCCTATGTTTGATTCACTGGAATAAAAGTGAAATAGAATGGAATTCTTATTTCTTAGCCTTTCTACAAATACCATTCACTATTTATATATTGATAAATAAAATGACCATTCACTAATAATGATGAATGATATGATGATTCCATATGATATATATTTTTCATCATTTTTTTTGTGACCGAACTTGATAATGGACATTTGAATTCCACCTTCATTCTAATGAACTAAACACTACCTAACTGTGCATGCTGCAATATCATCATTATTTGGAATTTGTTGATATTTACATCTAGCTTGTACTTTGTGATTCCTTTTGCGATCTTGTTTCTTAAATTAATTTCCAAATGTGAATGCATAATTCTACAACTATTACCTTGTTCCCCAACTAGAAGTATTATTATTTTCTTGTTGAATTTTCCTTTTAGTTGCAATTAACCAAACTTATACTGAACTGGGCAAGCCAAGTTCTAACTGGCTGAATCAGGACCTTGGTCTAGAAATAGTCCATGAAATAGTCCATTAAAACCCTTGAAATTGTTTATTTTGATGATCTTAGTTAAACTTACAGTTTAATCATTGAAGCCCATTAGAGCTGTGCAAAAGGAAAATTTTAATAATGGTAGAGAGAGAGAGAGAGAGAGAGACGGTGCCCAGCCATTACATTCCCAAACCCACTTTGACACCTCAACCCTGTAGCGCCTTGTTTTCCTTTTTTGACAGTGTTGTCTATTCTTCCTTCACTTATCTTTATTATTTAGTATTTCTTTCATCTCCGCTACTTATAATCTGAAACCTTGTGCTTAATGTATGAATATCTCTCTCTCTCTCTCTCTCTCTCTCTCTCTACTATGCACTGTGTGGATGAGTTCTCGCCATGTTCATATTTTCAAATTTTAACAAATCAATGAAATGATTATGTCAACAAAATAATTTGCTTCAAACATCAAATTATCAAAGATACAATTGTTGTGAATTTTTATGACTAAAATTTAGGTTTCCATTAGTTAAAATGAAGATAGACTAGGGCTTCCATAAACTATGTAAAGAGTGAATCTCCTCCAATGGTTGCATTCCACTTTTCTTTTTTCTCTGATTTTTCTGTTGAATCTCTCTATAGTGATCAATCCATGTATTTAATTTTTACTATTTATCAACTTTTAACAAATATATTAACATACATAAGTCCTTGTCATTCAAGCTTCTTTGTGTCTTGTGCATGTTTATGTATATATGGTAACTTATGGGTTGCATGTTATAGTTGTAAGTGTTATGTGTTTCCTTTATTTTTAATAATTTGTTTTTGTTTTTGTTTTTGTTTTTTTTAATTTAATTACAACATTGTGGTACAATTTTGTTCGATTGTCTAGGTTTCAAAACATTGCTCACAACTTCAATGATGTTTTACTAATTTGTCACCTTTCTTGGTGGCAGATAAATGCATTCCTATTTTGTTACTATATATACTCACTCTTCAAGTAGGTTGTGAAGCATAAGCTGTTGATGTGCTAATTTAAACTTGTATGATTAAGCAGATCTAGCGAGTAAGGTTTGAGAAAGTAAAGTTTGGGAATGACTGTGATTAATATGAGAATTTTGGAAATTTTTGTCACTAAATTTTACCTTGAGATCAGAGTTCTATAACGTAGGAATGCTTTATTCTATTATGTATTGTAAAAAGCTTGGTCATGCTTCTTGCATAGTTGAATTCTCTATATCATCATCCCTTGTGTACTAATAAATAAATAAATAAATAATGAAATTTAATGCTTCCTCTTCATGTGCATAATGTGTTGTGATTGGTGCGGGGTGGAGCTTCCCATATTAAGGCACGGATGTTCATATTATTGCCATAACTTTAATAGTGTTTGGTTGATTTCCTTAGTGCTTCTACTTCAACCATTGTTACCTAATGTATCTGATATAGTGGCTAATGTATATGCTGATATGCAAATTTCTTTTCTAAATGAATGGTGCAGTATCTCGATGAGAACAAGAAATTGATTTTGGCAATTTTGGATAATCAAAACCTCGGAAAACTGGCTGAATGTGCCCAGTAAGTCGTCCTCTCTACCTCTCTGTGTCTGTGGGTTGGGGTGTTTGCTTTGCGTGTTTTGTGTTTGATTACTTAGTTTAAACTTTTAGAAAATATAGCCATATTGCTATGAAGTACCGACACTTCAAAACAAGTGTTGTAGCCATGTCAAACACACGGACACAGCGGTGACACGTATAGGACACGCCACATGGCATGTCTCCTTATTTAATTTATTTATTTCAGAGGACAATTTGGGAACACACTAGAGACATGCCAACTGTCTTTTCCCCCATTTTCTTGGTGTTTTTTATGAATGTTGGATATTGAATGTTTATTATTTTTTTCCTAAATTTAAATACTTAATATATCATCCATAAAAAAAGATATAAAGATATTAACTGTAAGTGTTAATTTAAAAGTGTTTTATTTTTTTTTTAAATATAGAATTAGAGTTAGTTTTTGTTAATATTGATTGTTTGTGGATGTAATATTAATCAAGATAGAAAATAAAAATATGTGAAAACATATTTTATTGTTGTGTTCCCACCGTATCCGTGTCCCCAATTTTTTGAAATCGTTGTGTTCCATGTCTACATCAGTGTCCGTGTCCACATCCGTATTTTTGTCCGTGCTTCTTAGCCATATTGCAACCAATTGTATCAGTTTGTTTGTACAAGTGTATCAAATATAAACCATTTTGTATTTGCACACACATCCATCTACATATAGGACTGAATTTGTTGATTATGTTTCAATCCAAAGATAAGACTTAAGATCTTAGTCAATTTGTACTTGCCCAAATGAAAAAAATAAATAAATGAGAACAAAAGACAAGGTCTAAGTTCATATTGAATTCAAAATCTTTTGTTTTTACTGATGTCACACAAAATATTATCAGAAATGCTGTCATGTATTCATGTGAAGTTGAGGTAATGATTTTGTAAATGATAAACTTCAAATTGTGCCTGTAATGCATGTGTGTTTCTTTGTTGTTCTTCTTGCTACTTTGCTATCCCTTACAAAATGCTCTATGATGGGTTAAGTTAATCTGCCAGCAAGTAGAACTCTAACAGTAAAGAAACCACAAATTTATATCGGATATGAGATGGGTGCTGATCCTTTATTCTACTATAGTTGAGCATCCAATTTGTAGGTGCCAAGGTGCATGCGCACTTGTACTCGTAAATCATATGTATGTGGACAATGAATTGATTAATGAGATTTGGGATGACTCTTCTTTGTATATGTGAGCTAGACATTCATGAGACACGTGATATTCTGGATGATTTAGGTACCAGGCTCAGCTTCAAAAGAATTTGATGTATTTAGCTGCAATTGCTGATGCCCAGCCACAAGCACCGGCAATGCCTGCCCAGGTTCCTTCTAAACTCAAAAATCCTCCGTATTTCATCTATTCTTATGCCTTGTTTGTTTTGGTGGAATACATTTTAAAATGTTTTCTATGTTTGGTTGCAACCTTAAAACTAATGTGCTAGTGACTGTGAACTGGAAGTGGTGGTGATGGTGGGGTGTGGTAGAGGTGGGGATGGGGGTTGTTGTGGTGTTGGTAAGATTTTAATCCAATGGAAAATGATTTCCATCTAAATAAGCTTGTTTCCATTGAATTTTTTTTTTTTTTTTTTGGGTACCAAATTCCAAAAAATCCGGAAAAGGTTTCGGCTGAAACAAACAGAGCTTTAATGTTTTTTCTCAGTTATCTGTGTTGGCTCTTTGCAGATGGCTCCACATCCTGCAATGCAACCAGGAGGGTTTTACATGCAGCACCCTCAAGCAGCAGCTATGGCTCAGCAACAAGGTATGTTCCCACAGAAGGTGCCCCTACAGTTCAATAACCCACACCAAATGCAAGAACACCAGCAGCAACAGCAGCAGCTACACCAACACCACCAACAAGCCATCCAAGGCCAAATGGGTATGAGACCCGGAGGTACCAACAACGGCATGCATCCCCCGCATTCCGAGACCACTCTTGGAGGCGGCAGCAGTGGTGGTCCCCCTCAAGCTGCGGGCCCGAGCGATGTACGTGGAGGAAACAAGCAAGAAGCTTCCGAGGCCGGGGCAGGTGGCATTGATGGCCAGGGCGTCTCAGGTGCCGGGCATGGTGGAGGGGATGGAGAGGATGCCAAGTGATGTGGCCCGTGGGTCATGTCCCACATAGATCCATGTGGGTGTTGATAAGTAGGTCTCTCTTAACAGTAGAATGGAATTTGGTCTGGTGAGCTTTCCTATCTTGAACAAGGAACAGAGTCTTGATTGTTTTACTCAGTTTTATAGAACAGGTAGGTTTGTGTTGTGTTTTTAAGAACCTGGCATGCCCATGAAAGAAGACCATATTTAGTGATAAAAGGATTGATGTTTGTCGATGCCCGCATATGTCGTTCTGTAACAGCTTATAATGGATGCTGGGTGTTGTAGAAACAGTGATCCCTACACATTTCTGGTGTTGGTCATAGTCTCTATAAGGTCTCTTCTGAAAATTGAATCAAGTATTGGTTCTCTTGCTTATGATGATGATTTGAATTTGAAGAGACTAGTGGCATGTTTTGTAGGAGGGAAAAGGAAAGAAGACAGTGAATGTTATATTAAAATTGTGCGCCTAATGATTTCAACAAATCCCAAAAATCATTTTATTAAAATAATGAAAGATTTGGTACTCTTTTGCTTTGGATTTATAAATAAACCTTAATGTGTTGCTTTAGATACATTTGAAGTAATATTATGATATGTACACACTATATGTTTCCATTGATTCCAAGCAAGGTTGACAGTGTAGTACATTCTGGTCTTCCTTCGTCCTAGTAAAGCTGAGACGGGAGCAGAGTTGCACGGAGAGGTTGGGGTGGCAGTGGCTACTACACTGCTTGCACAGAGAGGGGCAGAGTTGCAAAATGTCTTAAACAAAGCGATCTAATACGCAACAAGGTAATTTGTTCCATAACCTTTCTACCGGTCTAATAGATTTGAATGCACAACTGAGAAATTGATCAATATATTTGGGGAAAAGATTGAGACTTACATTTTAAGTCTCCTAATCGTATCCACAATGACATGACAAGTTATGTGTTGACTCTTTGATTTGTTATAAATTTAATCGTATAATGTCTAACTCCCTTGGTCCAAATTTTCTAGAGTAGTTTTCCAGAGTTATAAGATTAGAGTTTGAGCGTTGGAAAATGAAATGATAGAGTTTGGGAGTGTTTTTTTGGGTGAATATAGAGTTTGGGAGTTAATAGCTTTTGTGAAATTAAGGCCAAGTTTGGGAAGATCCAAAAAAGCCAAAAAGTCAAAAAGTTACTCAAAAAGCTAAAAAGTTAACACTATTCACCAAAAGTCAACAATTACGGCTGCACAACTCCCAATTCAAATTTTTCTCTACAAATCAATTTTTACAATTTTTTATTACACATTTTTCAATAAAAAGTCAAAAAGTTAATCCAAACATCCATATTTTCAACCTCAATTTTTTTGTCCAAAAAGACAAAAAGTGCACTTTTTTAGTCTTCCCAAACTTGGCAATCTTAGTCATTCATTCAAAAAATCACTTTACTATGTTATTGTGGGTGAATTATATGTTAAAATGTGTCCCACATTATTTGGAGTTGCAATGGAGTTGCCCTACCTGTTCTAGTTATAAGGTTTCAGTTTCCTTTTCCTTAATACCTAGGTTTTAAGGAGAAGTGTGGGCCGGGTTTTTCAATTTTGTATGAGAGCTTAGTTGGGTCTGTGATTGGTGTGTGCCGTTTGTCTGACTAGTGTATGTTGTAGTCCAGGAGGGTGTGTTGGAATGTGTTCCACATCGCTTAGAGTTACTCTATCTGTGTTAATTATAAGCTCCAGTTTCCATGCTCCTTAATACCTGTGTGCCGTTTGTCTGGCTAGTGTATATTCCTTAGTGCTTGTGTGCCGTTTGTGTGCTAGTCATAAGGCTACAATTTCCCTGCTCCTTAATACCTATGTGCCGTTTATCCGACTAGTGTCTGTTCCCGGCTAGTGTATGTGTGTGCCGTTTGTTCGACTAGTGTATATCCTGGTCCAGGAGGGTGTGCTAATTATAAGACTATAGCTCCTTTTAATACCTGTGTGCAGTTTGTCCGACTAGTGTATGTTCCTTAATATCTGTGTGCCATTTTTCCAGCCAGTGTATGTCCTGGTCCAGAAGGGTGTGCTAGTTATAAGGCTACAGTTTCCCTTCTCCTTAATATCTGTGTCGTTTGTTCGACTAGTGTATATTCCCGGCTAGTGTATGTGTGTGCCGTTTGTCCGGCTAGTGTATGTCCTGGTTCAGGAGAGTGTGCTAGTTATAAGTTTACAGTTTCCCTACTCTTTAATACCTGTGTCGTTTGTTCGACTAGTGTATGATCTTTAAATTTTGCATGCCGTTTGTCCGGATAGTGTATGTCTTGGTCCATGAGGGTGTGTTGGAATTTGTTTTACATTGCTTAGAGTTAATGTGTTCTATATTGCTTAGAGCTGCCCCATCAGTATTAGTTATAAGATTCCGGTTATAAGGCTACAGTTTTCCTACTCCTTAATACTTGTGTGCCGTTTATTCGACTAGTGTATATTCCTTAAATTATGTGTGCTGTTTGTCAGGCTAGTGTATGTCCTAGTCCAGGAGAGTATGTTGGAATATGTTTTACATCGCTTAAAGTTAATGTGTTCTGCATTGCTTAGAGTTCCCCCATCTATATTAGTTATAAGACTCCAGTTTCTGTCTCCTTAATATTTAGATTTTAAAGAGAAGTGTGAACTGAACTTTTTAAGTTTATAAAACTCAAATTGTGGGTGGTTAGCACTTCTCATGCATTTGTTTCTTTGAATAGTCTCTTCCAAAATAATCCTACTACATCCTCATAATTCTTATCTCAAATTTTATCTAAAAATATCATTATATAAGTCAGACTCATTTGGTATATGACCCATAAAACACTCATTACATTTTAATCGCACACAACAATTCTGAAACTATTTCTTGATAAATATTATGGACTATAGCATTAGTGCTTCCAAAAACGAAAAGTCAAGTGCAAAGATCTTCCATGGAACAGGGACACGCGCACGTAAAAAACGAGGTTCTCTCTCCACGTAGCTTTAGATATATCAAGTGCAAAACCGATTTCACATTGACGCGGCCACGTTTGACAAATGTTTTTTTTAAGTTAAAAAGTCAAAAAAATTATTAAAAGAATTAAAAAATTAATAATTTATATTATAAAGTTAAAGGTTTTTTTTTTATTTTTACATATCTTTTCATAAAAAATTAAAAAGTCATCCCACATATATTAAATTTTTTTACATCATATTTTACCTAAAAAATTAAAAATTACCAAAAAAATTTGTTCCTAAACGAGGCCAAACATCTAGAAACACTCTCCATCTGCCATAAAATTAAAAATATATATATATTGTTAGAAATTCTAAAAAATTTATCAAATATTTCATGAGTGTGGGACCCACACAATGTGGGTCCTACACTATGTGAGAATCATGTAAAACATTTGATAAAAAATTTAGTAGAACTTTTGAAATGTCTAACATTTTTGTTAAAAAAATAAAAATGAAAATGAAAGTGATTTGAAACAAACCATCAGTGGGGACCAAAGAGCAACCTCACATTTGAATCCTCGACGCAGACAACCTTGTATGCATTCACATAATTCCAAGCCCACTCATAAATGTATATGTATATATATATAGGACCACTTTAATACGTACATTTGTACAATCCATCTTTAATATTCATCCCAAACGTCAGAATATGGTTCATAAATCCACATCAAACTTTGAAAATGAGAATCTTTTGTTATCGGAAAGGTAAAGATGAGAAAAATTAAAACAAAACAGACATATAATGATTTACGAGATTGAACAATAATTTTATGTTTATAGACGAATAATGATCTTATGATGAGCTTATAATCAGTCAACTCTCTGTCTCTTTAGACAAATTGGGCTAGAATAAACCCAAATGTAAATATCGGGTCAATATTATCATTTCTATTTCATTCATTTTTTATAATCTTTACGTTGTGTTTGGTTGGGGATCTGAAAAGAAATTTATAAACGGAAAGGAAAAGTGTAAGTGAAATATAAATATTAGCAGCTATTTTAATATTATAATGTGTTATAGGTTAGGTTTGATTTTCTTTTCTTTCCTTCCAAGTTTTCATTTTATTTGCCTAGTCAAGTCTTCCCCAAGTCAAGTCTCCAAGTCTTCTAAGGAAATTGCCCACCTATTTCATTTTCTATTCTTATCCATCAAGTCTCCAAGTCTTCCAAAGAAATTGCCCACTAATTTCCTTTCCTTTTCTTATCTACCAAGAAAAACCCTCCAAGCTTTCTCTCCTATATATATTAAGCTATCTTCTTATCTTGGTGGAGTGAAGAAGTTTTGGTTGCTTTATTATGTTTTGTGTGAGATTATCAGGGAACTAAAAAAGGGTGTATGTGATAAAGCTTTGGGTTCAATCAATTGTGCAGTATTGGTGAACCATATGACTTAGTCGAACTGTTGTATCCTGAGGGGACAAGTCAAGGTTTTTTTTCGACTGCACCGGTGTGAGACTTTGCCTAGCCGCAGAGGGCTTGAATCTCCTTAAAGAGAGCGAATTTCCTGCGCCTCATCCCTTACAATAGTTTTTGTAATTTTTATTATTTGTATTTTCTGGTGTTTTATTTGTAATTATCACTAACAATAAATAAAATATATTTACATTTCATCTAATTTCACACACATTTTTCCTTTCTCTTCTCATGGCCCTTCCCAAATCGCTCAACCAAACATTGCCTTACAAGGAATTTCCTACCCAAATAATTGATTCAAACACAATTTTATACCATGTTTGGCATTATGGAAGCATAGAATTGGAATTAGAATCTATCTTTAATTCAAAATTTCAGGTACGATAAGCACATGGTATTGAAGACTACACATATGATTCCAAATCCAAAGTTCGGGTTCTATATATTTCAATTTGCAAAAGGATACTGTGTATGTATGTCACTCGATATTTAGTTGTGTTGAATGAAAGCTAATTTAGAGTTTTGAATAGACTCTTCGTTGTCTTTTATTAAGATGAGGGGTCAAGTAAACTTATCGCCAATTCCCAATGGATACCTACCAACCCTATTGTGAAGCGAAACAACAAAAATAGAATTTTTTTTTTAAAAAAAAATTAACATGATAAATACATACATACAATAATAAATACATGGGACCAGCTTTCTTTACAACCTGTAATTTATTACTCTTGTTTCATCATGCATTACCTTTTGGCCCCGTTTGTTTCGATGGATATAAAATGGAGGATATAATACGATGTGGGATTTACTCAGGATATATAATGAATAGGATATAAGTATTGGATAGTATATCCCCAAGTCATGTTTGTTGACTTGATATATAAGATTGGATATATGTTATGCATGTTTGTTTTACAAAATATATTGTGGGATATAACAAGTAATTTCCAAGATTGCCCTCATAATATTAATCTCAAGGGAAAATT